GACATCTTAGCACATTGCTGTGGAATCTCAATTCTGGAAATGACATGAGAATCCCACCCAGTTAAAAGTTCATGATCTTGTCCCCACACCCACACTCCATCACATGGTCCAATCTTCTTCTTCCACACCAGCACCTACGCCCAGCTGCTGCCGGTCAGGTGCAAAGGTGCGGAGACAAAAGATGACCTTGAGCTTCTAGAAAGGATTTTTTTATTTTGAAAACAACACATTCTATCCCTTGCTATCCCCCCCTCCTTAATGAGAGTGTGGCAGGCCAAAGATTCTTAATGGAACCGCTGCAGGCCTGACATTCGAACTGCTAGGTTGGCAGAAGCTGGGACAAGTCGCAGGAACTCACTCCGTTACATGGCGCTAGGGATCCGAACTGCCAACCTTTCTCATTGACCAGCTCTGCATCTTAGCCACTGAACCACCACGTCCCTTAAAATCAACCCGTGTGTCACAAATCATTCAGAATTACCCAGTTTGAGACCCTGTTAAAACATTCGTATTGTGATTCCTGCACAGCAAATTCCAGATTGGGATTTTGTTTTATCTTTGGTCATCTTTCCAGGTTCATCTCATCCATCCAAATGCCGTCCTGGCTCTTGGTGTGGGCCCCGTACAGGATTCCCACCTCTGTGTCCAGCGGGTTATTATTGCCCTGAAGGTTCATCGGCATATGAGATTCTTGGTCAGCTGTGAGTACTTTACCCAAGCGGTGAATATTTCATACAATTCTGAAAGGTCCCAGTTTTGAACAAAACGCAGTGTTTAGTTCTCCTTCTACCACCCGACAACCTATATGTGTTCTGACTCAGGCTTCCTGAGAAAGCAAGAAGCAAAATCTTGGTCCCAACAAAACCCCTTTTATTTACACGATTTTGATCTCCTTTCATTCACAGTCAGCAAAGCTTTATCAAACAGTCTTTCAGAGGAATGTTTATCTACACGCACCTTATCTCATTTAGAGCGCTGCCAGATAACCAGTTTCCAAACACAGGGCAAAGCAAAACTTGGACAGAGTCTCCTATAATTACAAAAAGAACTTTCCGGACTGAATAAATGAATTGTTTTTTTGCAAAAGCCCACTTCATTCCTCTTTTGTTTCCTATGGGAGGGGCCAATCACCTTGAAAGTGGGGCTTTAGTCCCAAGTTGACCCTGCTTTCTTAGTTGTTTTTATCTTCTGACAGCTCTGCTCATGCGCACACTGGGAACAGGCTCCAGCTGTTCCTCTGCCTCACTGCTATCTAGCTCCCTCTCTGCTTCCGATGCAGAGCCCTCGTCTGAGCTTTCCTCAGCCCCCAGGACTGGCCCATGTTCCTCCCCAACCTCCTCACTGTCCGACTCTGCTGCCAGCTTTGCTGGCCACTTGCAGGCCACAACAATTTGGTAAAGATATAATATTCTTCCATCTCTGCCTTTAAAATTCTCCTGGTCGAGCAAAACTGCCCATGTGAATCTGAGAAAACTGAAACAATAAATTGCATTTTTATTATATTTCCCCTTTGCTCCAGCTTTGAGTTTAAAAATACATTAGCTCCATACTGTATCTTGATCTGAGCGGGTCAAATGAATTTTATATTATTCGGCTTCTTTCAGATGTAAAATATCACAGAGCTGTTAGGGTCCCCGGTTCTGTGTCGTTGCTGTGAAAATGCAACCCCAGATTATTCATAGCTGTGCCTCAGATGAGGCCCCAGAGCTCTTGTTAGAGATTAAAGGTGTTTTACAAATGTGTATTTGAGCTTTGATGGAGACACCCTCTCTAGTTCATATTCTGCCACCCTAAGGCCAAACAAGACCCCTCTACAACATGAAACAAGGAACGGGTCAAATGCAATTCGCACACTTCTGCTTTATACCTGTTCTGACTGAGGCTTCCCAAGAGCATGAAGCAAACTCCTTGTCCATTCAAAAAAAAAAAAAACCCTTTTATTAATTCACAGTGAATTCTGCTCATTCACATCCAGCAAAGTCTTTCCAGGGAGGATTTACAGTCACAGACCTGATCTGGCTTGGAGAGCTGCCAGGCCCATATCTGCAAAACTTGGCAAGGAGTCTCGGAGAGTCACAAACCAATTAAGCGAACTAATTGACTCCTGCAAACTCCACTCCCCTTTTGCTCCTCTTTTATTTCCTCTGGGAGGGGCCATTCATCATCCACCTATGGCCTTCCTTACGCCCAAGTCGACCCCTGTTCTTTAGCTCTTCCCTTTGTCTGACAACTGTGTGCATGCTGATGTCTGACTCCAAAAGCAGCTGATAACTGGCATACGGCTCTGGCCCCCTCTCTGCTTCTGACACAGAGCCCTCATCAGAGCCTTCCCTAGACTCCAGGACTGGCCCATGTCCCTCCCCAACCTCCTCACTGTCCGAATCTGCTGCCATCTCCACATGCCGCTGGCGGTCCACAACAACACCTCACATCCATTTTTGAGCTGTGGCGGCGCAGTGGCTAGAATGCAGTATTGCAGGCAATCTCTGCCCACAGTCTGGAGTTCGATCCCAATGGACTCAAGGTTGGCTCAGCTTTCCATCCTTCTTAGATTGGCAAAATGAGGACCCAGATTGCTGGGGGCAATATGCTGATGTTGTAAACCATCCAGAGAGTGCTGTAAAGCACTACAGAGTTGTATATGTCTAAGTGCTGTTGCTGTTGCTATTTTTACAGTTTTCTTAAAACAGAACAATTCCATTTGTTTCCCAATATTGTCTCATCTCAAGCCATCCCAAGATCTGGAAATTGGAAAGAGGGGTATTTGGAAGGCAACACCTTTTCTTTTTATTCAGAAACTAAATTTTCAGCAGAAATGTCCCATGTAAATTCTGAGGGCCAAGATGTTGGGGTTAGGGGTGGGTCACTGGTGTGTGTGTGTGTGTGTGTGTGTGTGTGTCTGTCCGTGTTGAATCAGAAATCCAAGTTTCTCCTCCAGCTTTTAGCAGAGGCAACTTCCATGATGTTGCGCACACTGAAGGTAGGGGAAATCTTCTGTCAGGCCTGTAGTCATATTCCTCTTCGATCCTTGGCCTGCCACACTTTCTATTATTCTTCTATCTCTTTTCTACTGTGGGAAAATGGGAGGCGGGATTGTACGGAGTTAGATGCTGTATAGCCAAAACAAAATTCCTTTCTAGAAAATCAAGGTCATCCTTTGTCTCTGCACCTCTGCACCTGACCGGAATTGGATGAGTGGAAC